TGGTGTGATTATAAGGGCCTCTCAGGTCATCAGTCTCAGGGGCCTCCTCTGACTACAGTGTAGATGGATAGGCCTCCCAGACCATCAATTTCAGGGGCCTCATCTGACTATTGAGGATAGAGGGGCCTCCTCTGACTAGTGAGGGTAGGGGGCCTCGGCTAGACCGCCAGTGTCAGGGGCCTATTCTGACTAGTGTGGATGGAGGGGCCTCCCAGACCACCAGTCTCAGACATCTGACTAGTGTGGATAGAGGGGCCTCCCAGACTGCCAGTGTCAGGGGCCTCCCCAGACCAGTGTGGATATTGGGGCCTCCTCAGATCCACTAGGGCCTCTCAGGCCATCAGTCTCAGGGGCTTCGACTGACAAGTATGAACAGAGGGCCTCCTTGGATCCATCACGGCCCCTTGGAGTCCGTGCGTGGGGATTCGTGGAACTTATTTTTACGGAGTTTGTTTATTCTGGAAGGTGACGACGTCCTCTCAAATCGAGACGAGGGGCCTCGAGTAAAAAGTGGGTGGGCCAAAACACATGGTTGGCCCCCCCACCTCGAAAAGTGGGTGGGCACTTGCCCACCTGGCCCCCCCTGTTCCTACGCCTATGGGTTTGGGTTCGGTGTGAAATTGCAAGTTTAACCCTATTCCTGGCGGGCTCCGCCGGGACAAGAAACTGGCGGGGGGGGGGGGGGGGGCGATTCGGCTCCCCCTTCAGATCTCAAAAACTACACATCGCAGCGACAAACGGTAAACGGCATCGGATACGCACGGTCAAGATCTACAATTTTTACAAAGGTCATTTTCAGGTCAGGTCAAAGATGACGTCACAGGGGTCGAAAAAGTCAAAATGGCGGCGCTAGATATGGAGAGAGTTTTTCTCGAATAACTTTCGAATTAGTCAAGATAGGAACAAACTAAGGGCATCATCGTGATCCTCTCGTCAATCCGCATCGAATGATATATATGTTGACCTCGAAAGGTCAAGGTCAAAGGTTGACCTCAGGTCACGTGACCTCGAGGTCATCATGTATATCATTCGATGCGTCTTGACGAGCTGAACACAATGAGACCATCCACGCGTCTGTATCTTGTTCCTGTGCGGAGTTATTGGCCAAAAACCTTTGGTGACCTTTGATGGCGTCACATGACCTCACAGCTGCCCAACAGCAAAACAGACCTCAAGGTAGTGAAGGTTGATCGTATATGAAGTCATGTATGGTATATGGGGCCATTCCGACCCGTTTTAGTGGTAAAAACAGGGAGTTGATTTTTCCCCCATTGACTTATAATGGGGAGGTCGCGAAATTGACCTGACCTTAGGTCACCGATATCAAAATTCCGAGATATACAAATTGCACATACTGGTACCCTAACTAAAGCCTGAAGAGAAGAAATTGATCGGTCAAAAACTCTAGCTCTGGCGTGATTGCAAACTTTTCTGAGGTAGGGTCACCAAACCGCCTCTGGTGACCTGACCTGAGGTCAGATCAACTCAAAATTTTCAGACATGTTGCATAGAAGCCTTTTAGGAAAAGTCAGAAAATTTGGGCTTCCTAGCTCAACGCGTTTGGGAGAAATAACCAAAAAACCTCAGGGGGGGGGGCTCCTGAGGCCCCCCGCCAGGAATAGGGTTAAGCAAAAAGAAATAATAATTTAAAAGGAAATTGCCTTTTCGATCATTCCAAAAATGTTATGAATAATACGGTGTCGGATACAACGCTCATCCTTGAGCAAACACAGCATCCTATTCAATGCGTCAGAATAGGGGTTTGATGATGACCGTTGAGAACAACGTGAGTATATCGTCTTCCCGCGACTATCGGTCGCCGGCCGGGGTAACTTTTTCAAACATTCTCCACCCATGTTCATAACTCAAGAACTACGAGGCTGATTGGAACAAAAATGCCACCGGTCAATTTGCCAAATGCAATTTCATGAACGGTTTTGAATATGGTGACCTGAGGTGACCTCGGTGACCTCAAAAGGTCAACTTGACGTTTTACGCACCTATTTGGGCTTGGAACTACTGGGCCGATCAAGACGAAAACACCATCAGTCCATCAGCCGTCCGTATGCGATTTCATCTGCCGTTTCCAATATGGTGACATCAGGTGACCTCGGTGACTTCGAAAGGTCACAAGGTCACACAAAGGACTACTGGGCCGATCGAGACGTAAACACCAGGTCAGGCGATTCACCGCATACAATATTATCAGCCGTTTCGAACATGGGGACCTCAGTTGACCTCGGTGACCTTAAGAGGTCACACATTTTTTTTCTCCAATGGCAACCATGATATACATTACCTAGGTAGGTACCTAACTCTGGAGCTACTGGGCCAATCGAGACGAAAACACAATCAGTCGATTCGCCGTATGCGATTTCACCCGCCGTTTCCAGTTTGGTGACATTAAGTGACCTCGGTAGCCTCGAAAGGTCAACTTGACGTTTTTTGACTATTGCAGCCATTTTATATCTACCTCACTCAGGAACTAGGTACCTACTGTAGGCCGTTCGAGACGAAAACACCACCAGTCGATTTGCCCGCGCAAATAATTTTATCAGTCGTTTCGAATATGGTGACCTCAGGTGACCTCGGTGACCTTGAGAGGTCAACTTGACGTTTTACGCGCCTATTAGGGCTTTAACTGGTAGGTACCTACCTATTGGTGGGCTTTTATTATATAACTCAGGAACTACTGAGCCGATCGAGACTAAACACCACCAGTTGATTCGCCGCATGCGTTTTCATTAGCCGAACATAGTGACGTTCAAGTGACCTCGGTGACCTTGGGAGGTCACATAACCGTTTTCACCTATGGCGGCTATTCTATAACTCATTATGAATGATGAAATCGCATACGGCGAACCGACTGGTGGTATTTTCGTCTCGATCGGCTGAGTAGATCCCGAGTTAGGTATAGAATGGCTGCGTTAGGCGTAAACGTCATGTTGACCTTTCGAGGTCACCGAGGTCATCTGAGGTCAACATATTCGAATTGGCTGGTAAAATCGTATCCGCTGAATCGAATTTGTGGTGTTTCGCTGTTTCGAATGGAGTTTCGTTCGTTCCGATCGACCAATGGCTCCCGAGTTATGGAATTGCTGCAATGGCAGGTACTGCGGTCGAGTAGTGTTGTCCCGAAAAGATCGGTGGTCACTGAATGCGCGTATAGTTGCACCATAATCACACGTAAACATTCAAATTCGTCCCAAGATCGATGACCTTCGTCGACATTGAGATTTGTTCCGAATATCGATGAACCTGAATGCACCAATGTTCCACTCCTAAGGCTGCAGCAAAAAAAAAAAAAATGTAGCGAGCAGAGATATGCCTGAGCGGACACAAGAAACGGTCACTTTCAAAGCGGCTGCTGTGGCGGAAAGTCGGCACCCCATTAGCATTGCTGGCGGGAGGCGGGCCGGTGTCTGGATACGTGCGGTGTCAGCGGTCGGCCGGCGGTGTGTCGCCGAGCATTAGCACATCAAAGGACTCTCGGAGCGCGCCGAGGGAAGACGAGGGAAGACAAGAAGGATGGGGAGGCGGTCGGCGCGGCGGTCAGCTGCGGCGCCGAGCTGCACCCGCAGGACGGCGGGCTGAGAGGGCGGGTGGTGGAGCGGTCCGTCTGTACCGCTAGGGGTACTCGATGGTCCACTGCTTATAGCGAATATTAACCCGCGCGGGGCTGGGGTCTCCAGCCGAACGAGCGGGGCTGGGGGGGGGGGTAAATTTTACCCCCCCTGTTATCTCCCGAACTAACGGTCCGATTTGGAAAATTCAAACGCCAATCGAAAGCTCTCATCACGAACTACTAAAAACATGTACTTAATTTAAAGTTTGAGGTCAAGGTCAAGGTCAGGTCAAGGGTACAAATTGCAAGTTTCTACAGTATCGGCCTTGCACCGTAGTTGCCGAAGAATGGAGTCATGGACTGAGACTGATCGCCCAAAACGTGTTCTTAGGCTACCAAGACAATATTCGTTGCATAAAATATCATTCAGAGGTCAAGGTCAAGGTCAGGTCAGGTCAGGTCAGGTCAATAAAAAACAAAATATAGAAAAGGGCATGTGCGACACATGTTTTATGGGTCATTTTACTCATAGAATTCAATAGGCACACTCAATAAGTGATATGGACCACCTCTGGATGAATTTCAGGTCGAGGTCAGGTCAAGGTCAGGTCAAGTGAGGTCAAATTTTGAAGTTGGTTGTTAAGGCCTAAAAAGGTGTCTATCTGATGCAGTTTTTCACGGCGAATCGAATGGTGCTATTTTGGTTTCCGTACGAGGTCTAGAACTTCCAAAAAAGTCATTTTTCAAAAAAATTGTGTGTCGTGACGTCATAAAATTTTGAATAACTCCCACATTTTTGAACCGATTCTTCTAAAATTTGGTATGTAGGTGCACATAGACCACTTCTCTGACATATATTCCGGTTTTTGCGATAGACTCAGAATTTTGGATTTTATAATGATTTTCCCAAAAAAGTCAGTTTTTTGAAAAAATTTAGGTCAAAATCCAAAATTTTCAAAAAACCGAGATAGCCATTTGATAGACAAAGTAAAATTACGTATAACCTTTTTTGTTACGTCTTGATTCCTTTAAAAATGAAGATGTTAGCGGCGTTTGACCTTTTGCTGTTTTTGAGGCGAAAATGACGAACATGACGTCACTAAAACGTCAATTTCTCAAAAATTTTCCGACGGATTTCGCTCAAATTTTCAGGGAACGTGTCAAATTGATGTAAGAAAAGGTACTGAAAGTTTGGCGGCGCTGCGCGCCGCCGTTTTTGAGATATCGCAAAAATTCGCGAGGGGGGGTAAAATTTACCCCCCCCCCCCAGCCCCGCGCGGGTTAATCGTATGACCTGTATACTGACTCATTGAAGCATAGTTTGTGACACTTCAGCTGTGTATTTCAGATATCGACAGGCGCTGTCAGCAGGGGCGGCCGACTTCAGTCGGTTGGTCGGTTGGAAACGAATCCATGCCACTCGAAAGACGTCTCCTCACACAGACCGAGCAGCATGTATTTGACTTCACTCGAGCATGCAGCGACGTTGTCAGAGAAGCCTGTCGACCTATCAGCATGTACAACACGTATGGGATACATTCATAAATAGGTATGTACATAACAGTCACAAGGACTGGAAGGGGCAGAACAGCCGCACTCAATAGTTGAGTGGAAAACATTGTCGCTGCAAGCATGCTGATCACTCCCAGAAGGAGTCGATAGGCTGACCATCTGAGACAATTTACATAGTTAGCTGCTGCTATATTCCCTTAATTTTATAGATCAAATCATATCGGCTTTATTTCCATTCTTATTTTGGGTTAATCTAATCCAAAATGGGACAAGTTCTTGTGCGCTCGCGGGGAGGCTGTAGGACAAACTGGCGATACCAAGTGATGTAAAATGTCACAGATGTTTTGACGGCGGGCAGCTGAGCGCCATGCTGCGCCCGTCTGCGGACCAGTAGAGGACGCAGCCGCCACAGCTTCCGCGGTCGGGTCAGTCCGGGTCCGGTCGGCGCCGCTGTGTGAGGAGGGCTGGGCGGGCAGTGCTGGCGGCGGCCCCGGGACGGTCCCTCGGCTCGGCCCGCGGTCTCAGTTGAGCTCCTGCAGCGGCCCGAACAGGTAGACGGCGCCGATCGTCTCGTCTGGGTTGCCGATGAACTGGGCGTACAGCTCCTGGAACCGCTTCAGGTCGATGCCGCCCTTCTTCTTGTCCTCCGCCTGCCAAAAGACGAGAGGTCCGAGTCAGAGCTGCGAGTCAGGCGGGTAGAGGTTCGAGTCAGAGCTGCTGGTCAGGCGAGCGGCAGGTCCGAGTCTGAAGCGAGTCAGTCAGGAGGGAAGCCAGAGTCAGAGGCGAGTCAGGCGAGGTGGCTGAGTCAGGCGGGAGGTCAAATTCAGGTGAGCCATGAGGCAGACGTCAGAGTTGTGACAGGCGGACGTCAGAGGGGTGACAGGCCGAGGCCCGTCCGGGGCCGCGGAGAGGACCGCTATGAACATCCCGTCAGCACCTCACGCTCCAAAATAACCGAGATCGGGAACCGATAGTGATAATATTTATTTGGTCGATAAATTCAAGCTAATTTTGTGTACGGAACTGCTCTGTGTTTTCGCTCCCTGATCGAACGCTGAAGCAATACGAGTATGGCTGACCTACCCACCGTGGTTTTAATTCATCTGAATAGCAGCGCAAGGAATTGAACATCAAATTAGCTGCAAAAGCTGGAAAATTAGCTGTATCTCCCATTTTCAATCTCCTCTTCCAGACACTTCCGTTTCAAATTGCAGCTATGGGCCTATGAGGCATCGCTACATGTCTATCGCGGAAAGTTTATTCAACTATTATCTGTTTATTTGTTTATTTACCAATTGCCGACAGGAAATGAGCAGCTTATAAACAAAAACACCTTGGTCGGTTGCAAGCCTTTCAGGGTTTAGGAAGGCATCGTATGCCTATATAATGGCTAATTCACAGCAGCTCCAGAGAAGGAGCTAGGAAGAAATAATCTCGGCTCCTCCATATCTCATTAACAAAGGTGTCAGTCTGCTGTGAGTCGCCTTTTAGGCTTCTTCTTGTTTCCGCCTGAGGTGGTTTTGTTTTCAGCTGCTCCGCTCCAGAGGGCAGCGGCTGGGAAGATCGATGCCACTTCTCTCAATTTTCTGCCTTTAGCCGGTGCCACGATGCAGCAAGATTTAATTTCGCTTCCGTATAGATCGAAAAAGGAAAATAGCACGTAGTTAACATTTAAGATGTTACTTAGACAAATTATTGCTTTCTTTTGGTCAACACATAAGGATATTGTAGATAGTTTAAGCTCAAACGAAAGGTGCCTAGTAATCGTTGTCATCTAACATCTTTTCTAAGGGCAATTCGTTCCAATTGTATGTTTGCTTGTGGAAGAAACAAAACTGCTGAGAGATCATTTACGGAATGAGTTTCATTACGATACGTTATCAGCAAATGCCAAGTCGACTTTATGGTTTATACCGATGTCCTTTAGCTCGCAGTGTGGCTGCGCGGCGGCAGAACTGCGTTACCGAATAGCGAACGCACCGCTCAACAATCAAATCATCATCGAATCCACTTTCAGCCTCCCGACATCTCAGTGCCGACGTGAGAGCTTCTCCATAATTTCGCACCGTCATCCCCGGGCAATCCCCGTCTGGCCGTCGGCGGTCGGTCGGCGGTCGACTGTTCTCTCTCACGCGGTCGGTGGTCGGTGGTCGTGGGTCAGCGGTCGGCGGTCCTCTGATGGTCGGCACTCGGTCGGCGGTCGTCACCCATCTGGTGGTTGGCGGCACGCTGCTGGTCGGCGGTCGACAGCAGCGAGGGCCAAACTAGCGGCCATTCTCCAGAGGCTCTTGACTGAATTAGTCTCGTTTCGCCGTCTGAATCCGGACGGGTCTGGACGGATGCGGAGATCAGACGGATCAGACTATCCGACTAGATCCAGACGTGTCTAGGTCTTTCCCGACTTACGCAGTAGAATTCGTGGGTACCGTATCCTATGTACCTATATGCATGTGCTCTTACAGATGTCTCCGGGCTAAGTACGCTGAGATGGCCGCTGGGTCCGAACTTTTCAGTCATATTCGAACTTCCTTTTAAGATTTGAGCTATTCGGCGTAATCAAAAACTACGCCGCTGGAGCCGAGTCCGTAAACTGGAGTGCACTGGCTGGTGAGACGGAAGTATTCATTTTTCCAGTTGTGAAGTTATGTGCTAAAGAACCAGTCTGACGATGTGACTATACTGAAGCGAACAGAGTCGGACATTTTACCGCTCAAATAAAATAGGCTACTGAATTATTGAGGCCGAAAACGCCGGCATCGAGTTGTCTTTCCTGATATGCAAAAAGTATTCCAACACCGTCCGCCACGCCCTGCAGGGCGCTAGTTATCGAAAATAAGCACAATCTCAAACAGGCCTGCTCAATATACAGCCTATCTGTTTGCGATCCACTTAGGCTTAGTTCTGCTCAATCCAATCGTAAACTCGCGTTTCGTGCTGGAGATAATGTCTGCCTGCTAAATATTGCAGGGATAGTAGCTGTCGGTGCCATGAAATCGTTCCAAGCCCTGAAAGGGAACTGTATTCCAAAGGTCAATCCTGCTTAGCCCTATCGATAGCAGGAGGTAACGTGATTTATATTGGCACTAGAGCCCCTTAGCATCGAGATATTCTCCCAAAAGACGTACTTACACTGGCGGCTCCCGTTGGGTTTCCAATGACTTTTTTAGTGGCCTCAACTTTCGTTTTTGCCTCGCGAGGAGGTGACCCCTAGGCCCTACACCCAGCTCATGAAGTGAGACCGGTGTCCACTTAATTGATAGCAAAATAGGGAAACCTACGCTTATGTAGCTTTCAAAAATGTGAAGAGGGGCCAATTTGCAAAATAACTTAGCTGATGCTGGGAGGGAGGAGTTGTTTTGGATTATATTTGCGTGAGGAAACCCCTATTATTTACTTTGCTCATGTATAGTTTAACGCTTCGAGGTCTGTAATACCACTATTGCTGTGAGGAATTTGCTAAAATTCGAAAATCAACGGAAAAGATTTCCTGTAAGGTTACCGATGGACCTAGTAAATATCTTGAAACCGTCCAAACTCAATAAAACATTTGGTCATAAGCTTTTGAATGCCTATTGTCTCGTGAGTCTGGCTTTGACTATTTGGTATTGGTGAATTGAATGGTTGCTGTCAGAAATGGCGGAGTTACCATCATTATTTAGTGCCCCATTCCCCTCACGCCAGGCAGCGGCGAGATCCGAAAAAAAACAGCAGCTGTGGGTAAAAGAGTGCCAAAATGAATTTGCTAAATTAGATTGAATCTTTTACACACGTTAGGGGAAGTTGGGGCAATGCCGGAGTTGGGGCAAAGCCGAAATTCGAGATATTTCGAAAACCGTAAGACATGGATGCCACCTGTCAGTGATGCTCTGAAGCTTAAGTGACTACAATTATCGCATGTTTGTTACGAGTCGTCATTCGGAATACTTCGACTGTGAGGGCGCCAAGAGCGTTTTCAAGGTACGTTTCCCTTGTACTACATGCGCCTTTGTAGCTGCATTTCTTACTCATTATGCTACCGTTTGTCTGGCCAATTCGGTCAAGTAATCTTTAGCATGTCTTTGCATAAGTGTGCTGCCTATTTGAAATTTATACAGCACGTTGAAAAGTTATGGGCCTGCAAATGAAAGTATGGCAGGCTGGGGTAATGCCGAAAACGTGCGATTACGCACGTGTTAAAAGCACGCTACGTGGACTTTACTGCTGTAGAATAGCAACGCGTATTTTTAGTCACACAAATTACACTTTCAACCGACACAACGGCCTGTTACCTATAAGGAATGATTTACCTGGCATGTTCTTATTATATCACACAATTATAACTTCCAGTGTGCACCGCGTCCTCAAGCTCTTAAAACGCGTGTCAGCTTTGATCAATTCTGGATAAAGTTTGAGATAAAATGGCAAAACATCAATGTCGGCATTCCCCGTTGATCATTTCTCCCATTTTCGGCTTTCCCCGCAGTTCGGGGCAACGCCGAAAAAGTCACTTCTTTGATATTTTTAGCTTGTGCGCTTAACGGTATGCGAATTCATCAAATGCGCCTGGTATGTTTGAAAGGCAAAAGACTGGCCTCTCGAATGACGCCAACAAGAATAGCTTATGTTGTCTACCTTGCGTGCTACGGGCGTCAGAAAAAAAGTCTTCGGCGTTCCCCCAACTTCCCCTACCTACCTTCGAAACTAAGCTATTGCAATTGGTACAGTAGCAGGCTTACCTATCTACATGTATTTGTTGAGAAACACACAGTATGATAGGCATGCAGTTGGTGCGGTACCTACCTATGCGTGAAATGGGTAATGGGTAAGTAAGTATGTGTATTGTGCAAGCCTTTGGCTAAGGACAAACACTTGCCAAGGAGTGACCTGATGATTCTAGCACTTAATCGTCCTTGCTACGGCATCTACGGTACTCATCGCTAATACGATATCCACTTTCCCGACCCCAAACATATTGGATAGGACTGCCCACGGACCCGTGCGTCGATTTTTGGGAGAAGGGGCATTCCAAGACAAAACGACCAATTTTTTTAAAAAATGACACCCTTATATTTTTAAAAATTCTGAAACTTTGTGTATTGGGTAATCTGACACGCTGGAGACGGTTCTGCCAATATTAGACCTCTCCGACAAAAGGTCACAGAGTTATAGCCTCCGGCATTTTGGAGAGGTCACCCTAAAGACCAATCTTTGAGGGCATATATCTCAAAGAAAAAATATTTTAGGTATGAAAAATATATACCGATGGACTCAAAATTGATCAAAAAAGATTTTGGCTATCTCGAATTTTTTTTCAAAAATTTTTCAAATTTTTTGATTTTGTGACCAATTTTTCAAAGACCTGGCTCGACCTTTTCCTCATCGAAATTGTACTTTTCGTCTATAGACAAAATGTTTTTTGATCAGTTTTCTTTCGATAGAAAAAATAAAAAAAAATGGGTTCTGCCTTTAAAATATATTTTTCGCCACACATAGATGGCGCTGCTGATGCTGTTTTCCTATATTATTACGGAATTTAGATGATAAGATACAGTTCATGACAGATGCGTGTTTTCTAACAAAAAATAAGACACTGTGACCCTTTTGAGTGGCTATTTAACCTTCGAGGCGGTGGGGGGGGGGGGGCATTTTTGCCCCCTTTGGTTTTTTCGATATATCTCGAGAACCGCTGCGCCGATCGTCACCAAACTTTCAGTACCCTCCCGGGAGTAGCTAGCGCACATGGTGACCAAACATTTTTTCCAAAGGCTATGATAGGTTGGCCGCTAATGACGTCAGAGTGACGTCATTTCTGCCATTTTCGACCCAAAAAAAGGTTTCGCGGGAAGAGCTGTCAGGCCTACAGCTTTAGAGATACAGAAAAATGTTTAATAAATAAAAGGTGTGGAATCAAGAGGGCTACAAAACTGCTATTTCGGTTTTTCGATTTTTTTATTTTGACCCCCAAAAATCAAAAAATAGATTTTTTGAATACAATAGCCGAAAAATCCAAAATGTTTTTTGAATTTCGAAAAAACGGAATATATGTGATAGTCCCTACCGCTTTCTATCTACATACCAAATTTGAGATCGATACCTCTTTTTTTGGCCAAGTTATAGCGAAAAAAACTTCAAAATTGATGACGTTAAATTTTCAAATTCAATTTTCAGCAATTCTAGACCTCGTAACGCAAAACAAAGACCACCATTAGACTCCCTGTGAAGAGCTGCATAGAATCAATACCCATTTTATGCAAAAATATCAACTTTGAAATTTGACCTTTTTTACCTGACCTTGACCTGACCGGCTGACCTCCACCAGAAAGTGACCTATTCCGTACCTGATAGTCTTATAACCAACACCATTGAGTTGGAAATGAAAAACTGGCCATAAAACATGCATCGCACAACCTTAGTAAACTTGGGTTCATGTGGTGACCTTTGGTGACCTGACCTGTGACCTGTGACCTGACCTGGTATGACCAGTGACTTCTAATAGCAACATATGTACTAGACAACTGACGCCTTATCGCTGATTTTCGACAAAATGCGTTTTACTCGGTGTTATAGCGCTTTCCCTAGAAGCCCCGTGAACGGTGAAACATTTTATTTTTGACCTGACCTGTGACGTCATCGGTGACCCCTAGGTCAACGAAATTTGGTTTCTTTCGACAAATTTGACAGGGCTATCGAACGCCGTTTGAGCTGTTGTTGGGAAACACACTTTGATCATCATCTGCATCTTATTATCTCAATTCAGTAATTATTCAGGAAAAACAGCGTCAGCAGCGCCATCTATGTGTGGCGAAAAATATATTTTAAAGGCAGAACCCATTTTTTTTATTTTTGCTATCGAAAGAAAATTGATCAAAAAACATTTTGTCTATAGACGAAAAGTACAATTTCGATGAGGAAAAGGTCGAGTCAGGTCTTTGAAAAATTGGTCACAAAATCAAAAATTTTGAAAATTTAAAAAAAAAAAATTCGAGATAGCCAAAATCTTTTTTGATCAATTTTGAGTCCATCGGTATATATTTTTCATATATAAAATATTTTTTCTTTGAGATATATGCCCTCAAAGATTGGTCTTTAGGGTGACCTCTCCAAAATGCCGGAGGCTATAACTCTGTGACCTTTAGTCAGAGAGGTCTAATATTGGCAGGGCCGTCTCCAGCGTGTCAGATTACCCTATACACAAAGTTTCAGAATTTTTAAAAATATGAGGGTGTTCGGCTGTGGTTGAGCTGTCCTGGAATGCCCCAGAAACACAACGTGGAAGGACAAACACTTCAGTAAGCAAAACATGCACCCTTAGAACGCAAATATTGACATTACTCCATTTGCCAGCTTTTTGCATGGACAAGCAATTGCAGCCCCCGCAGCAGTACAGTTCGTTACAGTTGTGTCGTCTTTGTCAAATGTAAAAAACGTCGGCCATTGCGGCATACAAACAGGTTCGTCCTGCCCCGGGCCGCTCTCGTAGCTCGGCCGCAACCACCGCTGAGCGCTCTTCACGGGGTTCTGTGCCGTCCAACTGACAGTCACCGGCCGCCCGAGTCGGCGCCGACAGGCTGACAGCAGCAGATGTCAGGTGTCGCGGAGGCGTGCGTGCTCCTGTCACCTCCCACTGCTATATCTGACAGTGAAATAACGTCTCTGCTCGACCGTTCTAGCCGCTGACAACTGGAAGTCACAGAGCTGATAAGCTCAATTAGCCCAGCCAGCACGGCACGGACGCTGAAAGTGGAGACAGTCCCGCTCTCAGAGACCTCGAAAAGCCACTTTCCGCGCGGCCAAGTTAGGCGAAATTCCGGCAGCTTCCACCGAGCTATCATGAGGTCGGGTCGGGGACTGGTATAACCACAGAAATAGCCGCGCCGGCTGTGTCACAGCGCTGGCATTGTCCCGTGTCCTTGTGTGCACCACTGAGCCGGCCAAACGGCGGCGGTGCGCGGCGCTCCCGAATGCTCCGCGTGCCGGGTATGTTCCGCTGCCAGACCGGCGCCCAGATTGTTGGCAAAGTGTTGCCAGATTGTCCCAGGAGCGTTACCAGACGCCGGCTGCGCTGTCCACCGGGTCGGCCTGGTAAGCAGAGACCGCTGCCGGTGTCGGCTCGCATTAGGGACAGCCACAGGCCGGGGACCGGTCGCAGTCGACCGGGAACAGAGCCGGCAATCGATGGTACCGGCCGCTGGCAGGGGCAGGGCGGGCGCCCGGAGTCACCAGCCAGGGGCCGCACTGACTCAAAGGCCACTATGGTCGCCGCACTGACTCACAGGTCACTATGGGCGCCGCACAGACTCACTGATTGGCCGCATTGACTCACGGGTGCCCTTTAGCCGTACCCAAAATCGTTATTAGTGCCGATTAATGAACTCGATGAAGTTCTAAAAAGTAGAATTGGCCATCAACTTGCAATGCATTTTCGACGATGCTTCCTTTCAGAAATGCAGAGCTGGATCGTCACATATTGCACAAGTTTATTGGGGAGCGTCTCTCTCGAAGACTCCGGCAAAGTAAGCAGCGGGAGTTTATTAATTGCGTCTCAGACCGTGTCGCCGGCCCATCACTCGCAGCGTGTGCCCCACTGCGTCCGCCCGGCGAATTTCTGCCCAGAGAAGCCGAGAAAATGAACCCGCCGCAAGTTGGCCGCCCCCGCCTGTTGGGTCGCGCCGCGGCGGGCTGGTGGGACTCGGTCGACAAGTGAATTGTAAGGGATGAACACGCCGAGAGGTAGGCTGGACTGACGGCAGGTACAGGCAGTGGACAGTGGTAAACGAAGGAAATACCAACGATTGCCAATAGCGCAGTAAGAAAACGTCACTGCAGACTAATAATGGAATGGGAGATGGTGTGATGGTAAATGCCCAATCCAACTGATGCTGTTGACCAATAATGGTTCAATTAGAATAACAAACGTACTCTTATGACATACGATAATGTCATCGGCAGTATAATTGTTATAATACCCGCATTTCAATGTAAAAAATAGGCTATGGAAAGATATACAGAGTGGCAGCAGGGCAGCATCGATGCATGACACCTAAATATATCAGTATGGCGAGTGGGCGCTGAGTGCACACTGCACAGACAGTGAGACCTACGCTAACATTGCTCTCAAGTCTCAATGCTGGCCTTTGACATCTTTATAGGACACGGAGACGGCCTGCCTGCCTGACCTGCCTGAAAGACGGTGCATCAGCTAACCAATGACATTGGAGACCCTCCCGGAGAACGTAAATACCATGAGTCCGAGGAGAACGTGAATACCATGAACAGGGTCCGCGGAGAAATGGGCCTCTGATTCAGTGTCCACCACCTGCCAGGATCTCCGATCCGAGTTGTATGTAGACGGTCTGACAAGTGCATGGAGTATGGAGGAGCATGCATTATCCATCGATTGGTGGTGGTCATAGATACGCTAATATCCCCATCAAATTATCAGGATGTTTCATGATAATGATGACAATGATTGTGATAAGCTTGTTTATCTAGGATCATCATTACTTTAATTTCTAACATTACTTGTATTGCCATTTTTAGTGGTGTCATTATATGTTTGTTTTAGGAATGGTATATTTCTGGGCTGACTGTTGGCGCCCCTGTGTGCGGAGGAGACTCACGCTGCAGAGTTTGTTGTAGGCGTCGTCGATCTCCTTGATGTCGCTGTAGGCCTGCCGACTGCAGCAGTCGACCCGGTACTCCTCGACACCCACCAGACCGTCACCTGTCAGGTCATCAGACTGTCAGAGACTGTCAGACCGTCAGACCACCAGACCGTCAGACTGTCAGATCATCAGACCACTGTACCGACACCTAACAGACCGTCACCTGCCAGATCATCAGACTGTCAGGGACCGTCAGACTGTCAGACTGTCAGACCGTCACCTGCCAGTTCATCAGACTGTCAGGGACCGTCAGACAATCAGACCGCCAGACCATCAGGCTGTCAGACGTCAGACTGTCAGACCACCAGACCGTCACCTGCAGGTCATCAGACTGTCAGAGACCGTCAGACCGTCAGACCTGTCACCTCATCACACCGTCGCCTGTCAAACACTTAGGCCGTCTGCTGTCAGACCATCACATTGTCAGCCCGACATACTATGAGACAGTCACCTTCTGTCAGACCGTCGCCTGCCATCACCCGGGGTTCAGGTCACTGTTCGATCTTGACATGGGTCATGTCAAATGGCAAATCCTGAAGACACAAAAGCCGAGGATAAGAGTATATAAAATGTAAAAATATCAGTGCCAGACCACATAGGTACAGTGAAGCCAGTGAAGCTATTTGATACTGACAACTTGACAGGTGACTAGCCTGACATATGTCTTCATGGTGTGTCGTTTCGGGAACTAGCGACCCGCGGCCGGGCGCCGCGGAGAGGTGCCCGCCATAGGGTTTTGGGGCTATTTTTTCACGTTTCGGTCTGAATCGTGAAAAGTATTGGTCGTAGCAAATATGTTCCCTGGTTTCTGAATTTTCAGCCCACGTGGAATGCGATAGGACAAGAGTCATTTTCGCACAGACAAAACTGTGCCCGCGTTTTTTGGTCAAAGTAAAAATGTTCAGCAGCTTTTAACACGTGGGCCGCCGCAAAACAGGGTACACCGGAGGACTTAAGATTCAATATCTCCTAAACCATCATAGATAGCAAATATGTTCCCTGGATCTATGTAGATAATACTTTAGAGAACACTTCAGACCAAAAATTGTTTCTCGACAACTTACACCCAGCCCGCGTTTTTAGCTTAAATGCAATGCAACACGACAGCCGACCTTTAGGGCTCAGTTAGCGAGTTTATTTTTTAGCGAGCACTTCGAGCATTTCAGCGTTCGATGAAATGGCATATTTTTTCAACGCAGTCGTTTCTTCATTTGCATCTAAACGCGATCTATATGATAATGTGACGGTATCGTCACACTAGAACGTGTAATTCATCGTAATTTATAGGGCTAATTCTCGGCGCACAGCAGCAGACGGACACCGACTGACCCACCATCTAAAGGCAGTTTGGCGAAGCAGTATCGTGAATCACAGCCGCGAGATGTCCCTAGCGTAGAACACCGTCTGTTTGCCCAGTTTAAATACGTGATGTTTGCCCTCTGTCAACCCCTCAGTCATGGGGCTGGGGTCGCGGATGAATGGGCGACCGCCCGCCGCGCGGGGAGGGGGCTGCTCCCCTGACCCGGACCGCCACGGCATGAGGACGGTCCCGCACTCGCGTGCCTCACGTCGCCGCCTCACACCGGTCAATTACGCTGGTTTTGAGGAACCGCCCATTGTGGTGGTGAATGATCCAACGCAGATCATGCCAGAAGTCAGAACCCCACTGAAGGGGTGTCACCCGTGTCAGCTGGCTCAGACCCATGATATCCCCATACCGAAAGCGACGTTCCAAAGAGCAATATGCCCACCTATAGTAGGTATTATTGATGTTTAATTCGAGAATGTATGCACGTAAGTACATACCTACATGATGTGTCAAAGTACTCCAACTGTACAACTTTGCCCTCTCAGCTCGAGGAATAACCTTTTTTACTTTAAAGGTAGTGTGCCAGCTTTCTTGGATCATATGGAGTTAATGACCCGGATAAGGAGAACCGGATTTTTAGAACTTATCCATACCTAGTTCAAAACTCATGGAAACGTCTTAAATTCTTCAAATTTTGAGTACCCCAGTGCGAAATTCGCCCCGACGGGTTGTCGGTCGTACCCCAACCACATTTCACACCACCATGAACAATAAATGCACACACTAAAATCGCTATTACCGATAGGCTCATCCAATCAAGTTTCGATAAACCCGTTCATCATCATCTCCTGCGGTTTCGAACACGCCTGTTAGTTGGCTTCTGATGCTCGTCGAGGTCGGAATTTCCAAATACGCGTGGTGCGTCGGGCCGCGCGCTCTGACTTCGGCCTAGAAAAATGCGTCAACTGATCATTGTCATTTCTGCCACTTGCGTGTGGTGAAATGGGGTCATAACTTAAGAGACGGCTGTTTCATATCAATTATTTTACATAAAATCATATTTCAAACCATAAATTAATGTTCGACAGCCAAATTAAAGAAACAATACCAATACAGGCTTACAGTCTAAGTTCGACATTGTGTTGTCTACGATTAGACAGCTGATAACTCATTCCCGTACGTCGTAACTCTATAATGACCTTTGCTTTTTGTCACATGTGCGCCGCATTCGCGATTGTTGCCGGCGCCTGTTTGCAGGTCAGCCCACTACAGTTGTTATACATATCGAAAAACCGATAAACTTTTAGGCGAAAAAGGCACTATTCCATGCCCATTTTTGATTTTTTCGATATTAAATAAAAACAGAAGCTCCTTATCCTAGGAAAAATAAAATGGGAAATCATTGGAAGGTGGCACACTACCTTTAAAGACAGATTCTTAGTGACTTCACATTCGCACTTACAGCGGGGTCGAACGGACCTCCCTCCCGGTTTTTCGCAAATAATTCGCGCAAAAAGCTGCCGATCGCGACAAAACTTTTGGTACCCTCGGGCCTCGAGTTAATCAATTTTACAAATACTGTTAAAATTTAATGACCCTGACCCCAATGACCTTTGACCTGTGGTCTGATTCTCGAGACCATGCGACCGGAATCGCGAATTGGCGTATGTCGGCTGACATTATCCGCGCAATTTCCAATCTTTTTGTGGTGTGGGTTTCAAGGTCACGTGAAGGTCAGGTCAAGGTCATTGACCGTTGATGACATTGCTTCACTTTTTCGAGTTTTACATGTTTCTAGGGTAGTTTCTGGAGCTGATTTCGAATTCCCATTTGGAGATTTATGAAGTAGTTTTGATGACCTCGTAACATGCTGTCAGCTGTCAATGGTGGTCAACACCTGCTATGGATGGCTGGCAGGTCTCCTACTGGTTGACATGACCTGACCTGACCTGACCCGACCTGGCCTAAATACATTAAGACATCATAGGTATGTGATCAAAACTAACATGAACTACGTGTTCAGCACCCCGCAAAATTCCTTTTTCAACCTCACTTTACGAACTTTCAGCAAGTCCCGATTTTCCCGATTTTTGGGTCATTGACCTGACCTGGAAGGTCAACCAATGACATAAATAAGACCATAAAATTGGGTATCATTCGCTTACTCTCGTCGCGGGCAACACGCTCGTTTTTTCTGCGAAGCTCTAGCTCCATCACAGGCCAAACGGTAAGGAGGGTCCAACGGACCCCCCCCCCCTCCCCTATACGTTAGACGGTGGCAAACACGAATACGGGCGAGGGTTAAAACAAAGGAAAAATATTATTACGAGCGAACGGACCGCGCAAGCCAAGCGAAATCTTTTTAAGATAACGGAAAGATATCAGCATTTACATATTATAACGGCCCGGCCCAGCCTGTAACGCTTTTAAGAGGCATATATCTCATGCCTCAGTAACCGTTGCAGTGGTTGGGCTGATCGACCTGCCACCCTTTTTGAGGAAAGCCTATTTCTTCTAGCCTGTAATTAATTGCTCTTAACCCTCGCCGGCACAGGCCATTTTGAGTCCTTCGACGGCACAAGGGGGGGGGGTTGGTACGACCCCCCTCGCGTTTAGCCCCTGATGGAGGTAGAGCTTCGCGGAAAAAACGAGCGTGTTGCCCGTCACGAGAGAAAGCCAATGATACCCAATTTTAAGGTCCTAGGTCAGCGGTTGACCTTCCAGGTCAGGTCAATGACCCAAAAATCGGAAATATCGGGACCTGTTAAAAAGTCGTTAAGTGTGGCTGCTAAGCGCTTTTCCGGGGTGCTGATCACGAATATTGTGTTAGTTTTGAACACAGATGATGTCGTTAAGCGTTTAGACCAGGTCGGGTCAGGTCAGGTCAGGTCAACCGGTAGGGGTTGTGACGGGTATTCGTAGTACCTGTCATCCGCCTCTGACAGCTTCGTAACATGTTACGAAGGCACCAAAACTACTTTGTAAATGTTCAAAGGGTTGCTAAATTCGAATTCAGCTCCAAAAACTAGCCTAGAAACATGTAAAACTCGAAGAAGTGAACCGAGGTCACCAAAGGTCAATGACCTGGCCTGACCTTCAGGTGACTTTGACACCCACCCTAATGCATGGGAGCAACATCAAATCACATGTTTGAACGTTTGAAACCACGAAAAGCTTAAGCAAACGCGCGGCTAATGCGAGCCGACATACGCCGAATCGCGATTCCGGCCAAACATGGTCTCGGAAAAGAGGTCTCAGGTCAAAGGTCATTTGGGTCAGGGTCATGAAATTTTCAGGGTAGGTGTAAAATTAATTAATGCGAGGGTACTGAAAGTTTCGTCGCGATTGGCCGCTTTTACGCGAGTTACTCGCGAAAAAAAACCTTAGGGGTGCATCAACCCCCCCCCCCCCCTGTGCCGGCGAGGGTTAATACATCTACATAGGGGAGACCCGGGAGGTATGGGCCGGTTTTGTGAAAAGGCAATTTTTTCCAGTGGGAAGTGGCTAGACCCGGTTTTTCACTCTGTGTACGAGAAATTGCCTTTCGCCTGCAAAGTGTGCCTGATATTAGGCATCTGGGATCAACTATTTTGTCTCGAGATAACTTTCATTAAATCATGCGCTTTTTCGATCCATCAAAATACACCGGGAGATATTGGCCATGGCCCGGGATGTATGGGCCGGTGCCCTTTTTCATATTCTTTTCTCGATACTGAGAACAATACTCGTAGCTGGTATCTACCTTGATCT